GCTGGTGCCCTTCATCCCCCCTCCACAGCCCCTGGTCCTGTTTGTGCCCCTCGCTCCCTCTTCCCACAGCCTGCCAGCCCTGTTGGTGCCCCTCACTCCCCACCACAGCACATCCAGCCCTGATGGTGCCTCTTACCCCTCACCCGCAGTCCCCTGCTTCCCCCAGCCCTGTCAGAGGGGGCCCCCAGCTTCCTGGGTGGTGAGACCAAGGACCCAGGTCCACAGCCCCCTGGCCCTGGCAGGGGAGGTGTCGTCAAGGTAGTACTGAGCTTGCAGTGGCAAGGAGATCCCCACATGGCCCTGTTGTTCCCTGTACTGCTGGGTTGAACCTGCTGGGCTGTGCAGGCCTTCAGGGAGGGAGTCGGGATGGAAGCCCAAGGCTGCAGTGGGCAGCCCGCAACCACCCCTGCCCTGCGCATAGATTTGAGGGGCACAAGTCACCTCTGCTCCCCTGGGAGTGTGTGCAGTGGCTGGGAGCCCCCATATGAGCCACCCACAGCCCCATCCCACTCCCCACCAGGGCCCTGTGGCCGTGCATTGCAGCCTTGGGCCCCAAGCCCCATACACTGCCTGGCTGGGCAGCAGCCCCAACCCCAGTCCCAGCCCTGCCCAACTCCCTCTCTCCCTCCCTATGGGGACCTCCATCTCCCTGCCACTTACCTGTGGGAGCTGCTTTCCAGGCTGCCTGATAGCCACATGCGCATACATGCACATGGTGCCCCCTGCTTGACCTGCCCTCGTCTTGCAGGCTGGAACTCTGCCAGCCTGCAGAATGCTCTTTGCGAAACTGCAAAATCAATTTTCTCCATTAAAATGAGTAAGTCGCGGTTTCCTCGGGTAAAGGGGCAAATCCATGTTTTTATCCGTTCTATTGTGGGAAACGGAAAGCCTGGATCCCTGGTGATGAGTGTGACAGCCTGCTGTAGAGCTGAATCATAGGCGACTGGTAGGAGGTGCATGGGGGTGTACGTGCCCCCCTTACTGGGCGGTGGCCTCCCTGACGGCCGACACTGATGCTGTCGACAGGGCTGTTGCCCCTCCCCTGACAGGGCTGTTGCCATCAGCGGCTTCTGCGGGTGTCCCCCCCAGATTCAGGAGGCACCAGACACTCATCAGCTGAATCTTTGGAATCTGCCAATTGTCTGACTGATCCTATCCTGCAGGAAGCAGAAGTTAAACCAAAGCAGCTTCCCTGTGAATAAGAGAGCATTAAATTACTGTGGTTTAGTTTTACTTGCCATGGGATAGCAGCAGATAAATGAATAAAATAGTGGTTCATCCAATCGTGTTCATGAGCATTAAGTCCTACCCCAACCTTCGAGCGGCATAACAACCCATGCCTTGGGGTTCAAAGACATGCTTTAAATGTTCTCAATTTCACCAGCATTTAGATCAGCATCCATTTCTATTGTCTTCTTCAGGACGTAATCCTTTAATTGACGTCTTCCTTGATTTCCTTCTGTTTTCTCCTTGCTTTGTAATTTTGATACGCCTTATTTGTCCCAAACAGCCAATCCCACCATGTGAATACTGGAGCATAGTTCCCATAGAAGTTCATGTGGTGGAAGTCATGAAAACGGCTAGTAACAGCAAAAGGCACCAGTTGTAAGGGATCCCAGGGAGCATCATATCCGCTGCAGTGAGAAGAAGAAAATATGATATATGGTAAGTAAGACTGCACAAATACTTTCTCAAATATTGGGCCTAGTGAGAATCAGAAACTTGATTAAATACAAAATGAAACAAATAATTTTCCCAACCTCTACATTTTGCCAGGTTCATTCACAAAAGTAAAGAAACAAAAATGGAACAGTAGCTCCAAGCCAAACGTTCAGGAGCTCTTGATGTAGTGCTGCTAATGGACATCCACAGACAACTATTGTGCAAACATGCCACTAAAGACATTTCTCAGTTAACAGTTCTAGTTAGTGTGTTTTCATTTACCTGTGCACATGTGTATTTTGCACTATCCGTGCCACTGTACAGAGCCATACCGAGAATAAATGATTGCAAAAAATGTACATGCCAAAGGAGAAACCTGCTCCAAAGATCAAAATCTCTGCTTGGCCAGCATATGTTGCCTGAATGGAAAATGGCGCCTGGAAAAAAGAAAACCATTTATCTTGTTAGTGCATATGAAGAGCATTGTGATCCTGCCTATCAATAGGAAGCAGTTTCCCCCATCCCATATTCTGATTTTTCCAAGAAATAAAACGTTCTCACTTCAACAATGGTAAATTTCTCTCTAGCCTGGATTTCTTCCTCCCCTCCCCCTTTTCAGGACAAAACTGGAGCTGATCCTTCCTTCCCCCAAAATGGAGTTTAGAAAAAAAGTGTGCCAGAGGTGGAAGAGAGCTATTCTAATATTACAGCTGAACTCACTTTGTTTAAACCTTTATAAAGTTGTGTAAAACTTTACTAAGGCAAAACTGAAGAGCTAAGGTATGCAAAGTTTCTGCAGCTCAGCTTCCTCTGACATCCTGTTCAATTAACATGTCTTTAGTGGTTTAATGTTGTTTCTTTCCTTGAATTTCTTTCTTGGCTCCTTACAGCATAAAAACAGGCAACTCAGTGTTATCACATGATCAACACTGCTATTATTGCATTCTTAGTGGAAGATTTATATCTTTGCTGATTTAAAAGCCAATTGTAATTTTCAGTGCAATCTCAAGTGTACAGTCTAAATTATATTCCAACTTTGTTTCCTTACCTGAAAGTTATGATGAACTTTATGGAGGTATTGGTATAGTCTTCGGTGATGCAATAGCCTATGTATGAAATACTCCCAAGTATCTTCAATCAGCAAACATCCAAAGACTTGAGCAATTGCAGAATACCTAGTAGGAGTTGGAGAGATTAAAATGTGAACAAATATATTTGTATAACACCCAACAACAATCAAATAGGACGCCCTGGTTGTAGATATGAAATTGTCACCAGAAGAAAAGTAAAAAAGTAACTTTGCTTCAACCAACATATTTATAATATCATACGCCTCCTGAGCTTATACCGGTCTAATGTTTACAACCCAATTAACAAACTCAAAATGGAGCTATACCTCTGATAAGCCATTAGTTGTCTGAAGGATTCTGTGGTTTTATTTCTGAGATGTGTTCTCTCTGACTGGCCACCTTGTAGGTGTTATATTATTACCAGGAGTATCATCGCTTTTGATTTAAAGGGCACCTACTTCAATGTGGCAATTAAACTTATTTTGAGTACCTAAGACTTTGCTAGAGACTAGACATTACTGTTTTGAGTCCTTCTGTAAGAGTCTTAAGTGCCGCACACTTGTTTTATACCTCAGACACCATATTTGGATTATTAGTTCCTAATGGGCCGCTTGCAATATCACCTTCCCTCTGTGATCCAGCCTTTTCAGTTTTGGGGAGAAATTCCTGCTTCAGCCTTCACAAAAGACAACTCATGGCACCAGTCTGGTCTTTCTTAAGGCCAGAGTCTATTGTTTCACTCAAATTTTGGAATCTCAGTTTTCATAATTTGAAATTGCTTGCCAGTTCCCAGAGTATGACTGGTACTCACTACACAGTCTTTATATTAAGGCTGTTGAGTCTGATTGCATCATCGATCAAAGTCATTCTCTTTAAACATCTGAATATGAGAGCCTTGCAGCATGGAGTGGGAGGGCGGCAGCAGCAGCAGTAAGACAAGTGCCGTCAAGACAAAGCGTCATTGCAGATCAAATACCATTGAAATCAGTCTGTAGTTTCAAGCTTAAGACTGAACATCTAGCCAGCCAATCTGTATTGGTCTGGTGAGCATGCAATTGCCAGATACATGGCCTGTGTTTAAGGTTTCACAATACAAGGAGTGCCCCACACCATAGGTGTGAGTGCACAATGGAGACCCCAGAAGAAGTCATTTCTAGTAAGTACCCTCTTTTTGTTTCACTTTGAAATGGTGAAATGATCAAAGTACAACCTTTTTCCATAGGAAAAGAGTTAATACAATATTCAGAAATTGTAAAGCAACCTGTTGTAATCTGCATTCGTTTTACTCTCACAAAATATAATTAGCTGCTATTTTAATTTTATGAAACACAGATCATCGCGATTAGTGATGCATAAGTGAAATAGTAGATTGTGTAATTTAATTTATAGCTGTCATAAGGAGATGTATTTTGTGATGTATCATCCTTGCTTTTGATTCCGCTTGTTTATTTAAACTCTAATTTGTTGGATTCATTGGTAGTTCAGATTGGCATGATGTGCAACAAAACCTCAAAACCCAATGAGAAAGGCCAAAAGAAAGAAGCAATACACAGATGCCCTGCTGCAAATTCAATAGAAACTCAAGATGACCAGAATCATGCTAGACATAAAAGACACAAAACCTATGTAACTCATGCTCTAAAGCATAAAAAAATATGGGAAGCAGCATGAGTGTCCTTTTGAAACACAAGCAAAGTACATATGTAGCAATATAGCCTGTGAGTGTAAGCATTGTCATCCGGCCTAAAAATTCCACGTGCAATGCAAAAAACCTCAGAATTCACTTTCAACTCTTAAACGTCCCCTAAGAATATGTGAAGAGTCAGCCCCGTGATTGATTTCAGTTCTGTGCATGGAACAAAAAGCAGGCCGGAGAGGATTTAGGACAGTATTGGAAAACAAGAGCTGCAGAACATGGAAGTCAGTGGGACTTTTTAACATGACTAAAGACAGTAGAACTTGGTCTTGTCATTGCATTTGATATTTTTAGAAAGATATAATACCATCGAGGCATGGAGTTCCAGTCGCATGGTAAATTGGCATACTCCACGTAAAAGTACACAGCTAAGGACAGTGGTATATGGAGAGTGAATATATGATAAAATGTCATCTTGAAACATTTCCACTGATCTTCCCAAGTTTCTGGCTTGTCCTAAAAAAAGATGATAATGAAAAAATGATTTTCTTAAAAACATTATTTTTCTTAACTACTGAAGTTAGCAGATGTTCTGCTGGCTTCAATATATACAGTAGGATGTACAAAAATTTTTTGAGGGATAATGAGAACATAAAAGGATATAAAGAATTAATTATTAATTAGAGGGCAGGAAGCTACTGGCTAAGATGCTCAAGAGGGCTACGTTTTGTTTGATGAATCTGAAAGATATGCACATTTAATTCTAACGACAACAGGACTAAAGAAACACCGTCTTATGATTAATTTTTGCCTAGCTTGTTGTGTTTTTATACATGATAGAAGCAATAGAAAATGAGTGCACGTTCTAATAAAGTTATATTTGTTTTTGCTTTAACCTTAAACCAAATAATATGGGCCTAGGCCCCAGGCAGACTAATAAAGCTTCTAATTTCTTTTTATCTTGGATAAAATGTGTGTTGTGTAATAAAATGATACGCTACATCATCTGCACCCCTCTTTTCAAAATGCTAGCTCTATCCATGCCTTGCTCCCTAAAGACAGCAAAGACTAGCCATAGCTTTTTGGTTAATTCTGCAGGCCTGTCTGTCGCAGAGGCACTACACAACAAACACTTGTAGCATAAAAATACAGAATGAGTGTACTTCCTCTGCACCTTTAGGGGAGATGAACCCATCAAAGGTTCTGAGTTTAAATTAGACTTGGGATAAAAGTTGTGGGCTACATGCATGTTAGGTTGAACAAAGATTTTTCATTTGGTTATTCACAGAGCTGGTCAAGGCTCAGAACTGCTGCTCTACAGAGTAGAAAGTGTCCCCCAAACAGGAAATTCCAAAATCTTCAATTCAGAAAAAACAAATAATTTCAGTTTGATTTTTCCCAAGTAAAAGGAAGCAGATGGCTGCCCCAGATGCCCAGGGACTCTTTCCACGCCTCTGAACTTGATGTGGGCTCCCTGGGCTTGCACATCCAGAGTCATAAAGAGTTTGTTGAATTTTCAGGTCAGGAGAGCTCCAAACCAGGTAGTGAGGAGTCTAGGACTGCTTGTACATGTCACGGGGTTTACTTTGGTGTAATTCTCCCTAAATTGAAGTGGTGGATTTTTAAAAACACCGCTTCGATTTAGGGCGAAGTAAACCCCTGTGGCGTGTACACAAGGGTCGGTCCCGATCCTTACTTGCCTCTCTGACAGTGGCGGGGAAGGACAAGCTGCCAGTGGGCTGAGCAGTCCCTGAGCTGTGGGTAGGAGGGGGTGCTTCCCTCCACAGTGGTGGTGGTACCCCCCAGCTGGCACCCGCCTTTAGGCACGTGGCCTGGGTGGTCCTGGAGGGCACTGCAGCTGTGTGAAGGGAAGCACCGGGGCCCCACGCAGCTTAGGCAGGCAGGCAGGCTCCGGGGATTAAAAAAAACAACAAAAAAACCCAAAGGATCAGGGTCGCTGCTTTTTCCCCCCCACTTCAGTGGAACTTGCATGCACGGGCTGCCTCCACAGTCCCTGAGCTGCATGGGGCCCAGGGCTTCCCTCCACGGCTGTAAGGTAGCAAACTAAAACACCTTGGACATGTTTTATTTTGCTGCATCCTGAAGTCATTTAATGTGCAATATGCTGCCAACAGTGTAAACAGCTGCACCATTAATGCACATTAAGCCACTGACAGTGTAAACAGCTGCACTGTGAAAGTGGTGCAAAAGGGAATTCAAGCAATTTTGTGGCGTGTATAAAGGTCCAAAAAGCTCTGAGACTCTTGGCTTAAGCCAAGATTCCTGGCTGGACAGGAAGGAGCTGGGAAGACCTGCTAAGCAATTCTTATGCTTTGGTTTTCAGTCTTTTCCAGGCACCCTGGAGCAGAGCTGGAGCCCTAAACCAGAAAACACTGGCTTGAGCTCCCTGTGCTGAAGACTTCCAGGTTCCTGGCTCTGTAGCAGGGAACCTGAAAGGCTCAGTATTCAGTCAGCAGGTGGCTTGGATTACAGGGCACACATTTGGTTTGAAAGACTACATGTTTTGGTGTTTCTCAAATGGAATATGGCAGAACTGCAGTTTTATTAAAAAGTCTGAGTACTTTGCTTTTTGTCCTCATTTGGGGTGAGACAAATTCTGAAAATGCAAATTTTGGAAAAAACTGAAATTTGTTGTTTCATTTAACTCTAGCCTGTAATTCTGGGTGTTTGTTGAGCTGATGTCATATTGTTTATTTTTCTGCCTGCACTTCTTGACTGCCTTACTGCAGGATTAACTTGGGATATGCATACATGCATGAGACATCCAGATAAATAGGTCAAATGCAGGAGTGGTATGTTATTATGGAAACACCCAGCAGCTCCAGATCTGTCACATTTAACATGAATAGATAGGTAATTTGGTGCTGTCACCTGTATGTTGCTGACACATTAACCTTGCAATACTTGAGTTGCTCCTGCAATGATTCTTTTTCGGCGTAGAACTGGAACTGACCTAGTTAGGTTCCTTCCAAAAGCCCCAAAGAGTTTATGCACTATCTTAGAGAAAGTTCATTTTCATTCATTCCTTTCTTTAGATTTTACTTAATAGTCAGATTTTAGCTCAAGACATGAGGCACCCCAGTACTACTTCAAGAGCATGATCAAATTACAGCAGCATTAAAGTAATCATTTCAGCAGGAACTCAGCTCTCATTGCGGTCTTTGGCACACGTCTCTTTTACAACTCTACACAGAAAAAACAGCTTACAAGATGGTTCTTGAAAGGACCTATCCCAAGCTGCATATTCCTGATTTGTAAATAGTTTTAGGGGAGAGGATCTATCAGATTTTCAGGTTGCAGTAAGAGTGCAATAATTAGTAATGTAAATTAGGTTTTCCATGTTTCTTCTCATTTTCGTTTGTGTTATGTTCCTGGTAACACACTGTCTCCCAAATTTCTTTGCTGGGTAGAACCCTGGATATAAGTGACCGACCAACTTAAGTGGGTATTTAAGTAAATCCTGAGTCTGCTATCACTGTTGGGTCGCCTTAGATGCTATGCATCACTGGTGATTCTTTGGGCAGAGTGAGCAGGTGGTGCCCATCTCTCCAGGTTTGGATGGCCGTTGGCTCACAGGGAGCTGATCCACCCTTGTTTTTAGTCCTGCTGGGTGCCCCCACACTCTCCTCATCCAGGCTAGCCCAGGTGAGGGAGCTAGTTCAGTCACCAACAAGCCGACCATGGAACAGGCTGTACTATTTTAGCTGGTACTAGATAGCACACCTGGAGAGGCCTGGCCTGGCAGGGGAGTGGGTCTTTAAGGTCATCCTAAAAATATTAACTCAGTTATGGACCTAGCGATCCTTAAGTTCTGTTCCTATTATCTGGGATGTTAGATGTGGTTCTATATGGGTTGCCCCCCAATTACTGAGAACAGACATTAGCCACAGATCTAGTCCCATTTTGGAAGAGGAGAAAAATCTTTCTGCTGGATTATTGTGTTTAAAAAGCAAACATCAAGGTGCAGCAATACTAAGTGCTGATTTGCAAATAAATGTTTGTGATAGAGGGATTCATCTTCCACTATGACTTCCTGCATACCCCTTCCCCACTCTGCAATTCGGTCTTTCTCCTTCTGTAATTTGTACAATCCTGTTTGGTACCATTTCCTCTTCCCCTTTCTGAGTTGCACAATTTGTGCTCCTGCCCCCCACCCCCCTCCTTGTTTTGGTATTACCTGTTGGATTTTGTATTTCTTCATGGCTGGGATGAACTGGTAAATGAATCCAGGAAGCGAGGCTAAGTAGTAGGAAGACAAATACAGCAGCAGGGTACCCCATGTGACCACGTGGAACTTGGTAGAGCTCTCTAGCAAGCGAGTCCAGGCATCCCGGAAAGATTCCTGCAAGAGGTTGTGCTGCAACAGGGAGCCCAAAGTTTCCATGGCCAGGAAGGGGAGGTGAAATGAAGAAGCTCTGGTTCCTGTCCACACTTCTAGAGACCATATTCTCTCTCTCTCTCTCTCTTTGTATGTAACAGCTTTGTAGATAAATCACCGATGGCTCAACCAATGGGCTTCCTTGTGCTGCTGCTAAATTCTGGGTGTGGTTGTACAGTGAGATCTATGGTGACAAATTATGTTAATTTCTGCTGATCTCCTGTGTGATCATGATAAGTTTTATATAGTCATAAGTAGGGACCTACCAAAAGCAGCCAGAGCCTTGGCTGGTTGTGGCATGCTGAGCAAAATGGCTTCACATGCCATGGTCTGATGCACATGCTGGGGTTTCTGACCCCTAGGTTAGGGTTTAATTGAATGCTTAGAATGGGGGCGGCCTGAAATCCTGGCTTAGTTTACCTTGTGTAAACCCATGGAAATCATTAATCCATGCTTAATATGTGGATTAATGGTTTCCGTGGTCCTAATCATGGTAATTAAGCCACAGTTTTGGGCCATCAGCCAATCTGCGGGGAGGGGTGAGACTGCTGAGGCCCCTCAGCCAATCAAAGGTGTGGGGGGGAGGGCAACACTGATAAGCCCATGAAAATGGTGGCACTGGCTGGCCCTGCTATCTGCCTGCAAAACCAGCTACCTACCCACTTAAGTTGGGTAGATCCCTAAGTATATGCTGGCTTTGTCTTTCACATTTTAGGCTTCTGGTGCTTTAAAATAGACACTGTGGTTTAATTTATTTTTTTTGCAGCAGCATTTAGAGCAGGGGAGATTGGCTCTATGAAACCAAAAAGAAAAAAATTAAGATGTAGACAATCTCTTTGCACATAATCCAGGCAGTGGGTAGAACTTGAACAGGCAACAAGTGTAAGAGCAAGAGATATACGTATGATACACAGATAGTTGTCTATGATGCATAAGAGCTACTCATCTTCAAAAAACGTGCAAATGTATTTTTAAATGAGATGCCTAAATATGGACCTTCCCCATCTCTTCCCAGCACAGCTATTAGCTGTGTGCTTGGATAAGCAGAGACTGCACTACATTTTGAGAGGGGGTCTGGAGGAAGAGAGCATAATCATCTCAGGGAAGGGATTCCTTGATTTTGGGGGAAAAGTGGGAGAAGGAATTAAGCCATTTATGAGAGTTAAGAGCAAGAGTTGAGGCTGGTGTCATTGATGGACTGAGCAAACAAAGTGGGTGTTTTATGAGGAAATAAGGGTGGGGGTTGGAGAGCACTGTGGTGAGCTAAGTATGAGAGAGGATGAAACTTTCCTCAGTATGGCATTAGAGTTAATGAATACAGGTGTTAGATGAAGGAGGGAGAAAATAATGGTGAGCAATGTATGCGAGAGATGCTATGTACCTTCATCAAGTTGGAGAACAGGTTTTTATGAACAAAGAACTTCCTTGTTGGGAGTGTCTCTGCTAGGGGACTGGATGTGCCAAGGAGAGTGAAGAGTAACATGGCGACATCGACTGATAATCCTGGCCTTTGTGTTTGCATAGAATAGTGGGGCTGGTGATATCTGGAAGGTCAAAGGTCGTAGCGGTAATCGAGACGGGAAATGATGGGGGCCGAGAGCTCTAGCCGTCTGGATAGCAAGAGAAGATTGCATTTGTGGTGGAACGTGAAGAGGCAAGAATTGGAAACTGCCTGTGCGTATGGGAGTAGGGTTAAAGGGGACTTCCAGGTGGGGGTCCTGATGAACAGGGAAGAGGATGGGAGTAACATTTGAGGTGACAGAGAATGAAAGGCAGACCAAGCTGCTACTTGAAAACATTTGCTTATACGTTCTGCAACTATTAATTATGTTGTTTCCAAGAGATCCATGTGTCCTAACTCCGCATTATTCAACAGGTATGCTGCCAGAGGACTGATTATGTGCCAGGATATACATTTATACAGTATGTGCTTGTTCGTGGCAACCAGTTTTCTGCTTCCCTATTTTATTCCACATGGCAAGAGCTTGACATGGTGTGGTGTATATTAAGGAAGATTTTTGGACTCAGCCACTTTCCATGACATAATTAGAACAGCATATGCACTTTATTGTATAGTTTGTTACTAATTAATTTGGCTTTGCATAGCGATTTACAATACAGAGCTCTGTCTAGGATAATTGTAAAATTAACGTTTGGAAAACAACTTGTGGGGCATTGAGGTATTATAACAATGAGCACAGAATGGAAACTCAAATACAGGCTTGAAATTTTGTATTTCCCTATGACTACTTTGCTACCTTGGATGGAAGCAGTGCTTGAATACCTCCTGTATAAGCATGTGTGAGGGGTTCTTGGTAGGATAGGGTAAACGGAAGAGCTGCATTGTCAGTGTGCACTGAATGCCAGTCACTTTCAGCTATGGAATAGCTTGTGGGATTTGACTGCGGCTTATAAATAGCTTGGAAGAGTCTGTAGGTCTAGAGAACCTGGCTTGAAATGTGTGTTGGAGCAGTTTGGTTTCAAAATAATTTCAAAATTTTTTCACAATAGTTTCAATAGTATCAGGTAATGTGTTTTACTAACAGTACTGTGTCTCTTCTTTAAATATTGAAAGCTTAATTTTACACACCAAAACTGGCAATTGGATTTCAGAACTGGTCTAACTGAGCCAAGGGAGAATTTTAGGAACATACTGTAGTGGCATGCTTCCTCCACATGCTCAGTATAATATGTAAGCCATTACGTTTGCACTAAGTAATGCAAAGTGTTGCGGAGTACTGGAAGGGTGCTCGCCATGTAGAGTGGGCTGCAGCAGGCTGGAGAAGGGCCTGCAGGTAACGCCACAGGGTGAAACCCCGGGGACTCATTTTTAATGGGGAAGGTGTGTGGCGGAGCTCCAGGGGGGTGCTCGCCACTAAGGGAGGTTGCGAGCTCTGTGGGAGCTTGTGGGCTGAGCAGCAGGGAAAACCCTTCCCAGGAAACATTTTAAGGGGGAAGGCGTGTGTCAGAGCACTCACGGTGCTCTGCCACTTTAAGAACTGAGCCAGGCAACAGGCAGGTGCAGCCCAGTCCTGATGAGTGGCCATCTTAAGACTCAGGCCAGCAGGGCTGGAGGCAGCAGTTGCTGCCTGGTGCTGAGAAAGGAACATCTCCTGGCGGAGCTGCTGCTCTGGAGAAAGCACGGAGGTAAGGACAAGAGCTATGGGTTGGCTTGGAGGCTCCTGGTCCTGGGCATGACCTAAAACTGCACCCTGCTGGGATAGGGAGGCCTGGTGATCCTGCCAGTGGCGGGGCAGGGCCAGCAAATGCCAGGTTTGAGGACCATCCTGGTGAAAGGTGGGTTGGCATGCCTTAATAACCCCTCCCCCCACCATTTGGAGGGTTACTAGTAACATTGGAGGGAGTTAGGGCCAGGTTTGTCTATGTGGGACACCTGAGTCCAAGGCCCAAAGTGGGTAGTGGGGCCAGGCACATCCATGTGGGGCACCTGATCCTGTTTGGGGATGCAAGAGGCTGGTAAGAGGGAGATGGGGGGGGCCAGGCACATGCATGAGTGGCACCTGAGACCTTTAAGGTGTAAGACCCTGGAGAGAGAAGGAGAGTGGTGGGTCAGGCACGCTGACGAGGGGCACCTGAGCCTGCAGGGGTGTTTGGCCCTGGGCCCCAGAGAAGGGAGTGGCGTATGGAGTGGGGTCCCTACGAGTAGGGGGCATGAGTTGAGGTCCTATTAACTTGGGGGGCCAAATTTGGTTCAGGTAAGCCTGAGGGTGACTGAGGGCACCTGAGGCCACAAGTGGGCCTGCGGCTGATTGGAGGGCAGCAGTGGAGAAGCCACGGAGAAATAAGGGGGCGTGCCAGCAGCCCTGTATAGAGAGCAGCTGGGGGGAGTTACCCAGCTATGAGATGGGGCAGAGTCTGTGCAGTATTTTGCAAACTCCAGTGTTCAGTTGGATGAGGGTAGCAGGAGATGCCCGAAAGCCTGCATGCTTGCTGGCCAAGGAGTGAAGGGAATCAAGCCTGAGGACCCTCTGGGTGAGGGCAGGGTGAGTGTGGCCCTGGGGAAAAGGAGGGGTGGTACAAGTGAGGCCATCTCTTACATGGTGGAGATGGTGGAGTGTGAGGGGCTTTAGTGAGAGGGAGGTGGTATGAGTGTGGCCCATAACAGGGCAGGTTGTGAGAGGCCCAATACTGTACTGAGTTGGGCCTGGCCTCAGGCCAGAGCTTTACACAGTTGTTAGAAACATCTGCGAAGCATGGGACATGTAAGGGCAGGTAGGAGTATGTAATCAAGGCCCTAGACACCAGGGCCCAGAATGGGCAGCCTCCTGCCCAGTTGTGATCGTAATTACTTAACAGAAAGGCATGGCAGATGACATAGGCAGGCGGCATGCCCAGATGCAGTGGGAGACCAGTACTCTGGCTGGTCGAGAGTTCTTATTTTGTTACACAAAGGTAATGGTTGTCAAATGGCATATTAGTAATGACATTCTATTGTTTTGCCGCCACTGACACAGAATGATGGGGGGGTGTCTATACAAGATGAGTTAATGCGCATTACAAGTCTGTGTCTATATGTGCATGCCTGTAATGTGCATTAACATAGGCTAATCATGCCTAAATTTGATGCCTGCAAATGCAGATATTAAATTTAGATGCAATTAGTTAATGCACATTAACACAGGTGTATATGCGACCTGGCACTAACTTTAGTGCCTGGTTTGCCCTGCCACTAGGGGACCAGCCTGAGCCCAGCCTCAGGTAACATTGAGGAACTGGGGTGCTGGGCACCTGGCCTGGATTGGGGCTGGTGTTCTGAGGAGTAAGAGAGTTTTTTTTCTTTCACCCATGTGCATGTCCTGAGTGTAGTATTCTCTCCCCCCTGTGCGTGCCCCCCCCCCCCCCACACACACACACACACACTCCCATGGCTCCCTACTCTGGACTTGAAGACTGAAATCTTGTAAATAGGTTTTCCCTTATATAGTTTTCCCATTGTCTATAGTCTCCCACTTGTAAGCAGGTTTTTTTATTGTTGATGAGTGAGGAAGGGTGGTGGAGGGGTTCTGTTTGTTGAGGGGGAGGGGGTTCCGCTTATTTAGCGGGGTGGGGGGAAGGATGTGGGCTGGTGTTCTGAGGAGTAAGAGAGTTTTTTTTCTTTCACCCATGTGCATGTCCTGAGTGTAGTAGTGGGGGTCAGCCAGGGGCAGGGCATGTGTTGGTGGTGGGCAGGTGGGCTGGAGTGAGGACTGGAGGAGGAGGGGGTCGGGCAGGGCCTCCCGCAGCCAATGCCCTGGCCCTCACTGGCAGGTGCATGGCTGGCCTGGGGCCTGGGTGGAAGGAGGGGCCCACTTGGGATGGCAGGGCTAGCACCACACAGAGCAGGTGGGCAGGGTGCTGGTCTTTGCTGGCAGGGGCCAGGGTGGAGCAGCAGGGCACTGGGGATTGTGGGCAGGGGCAAGGGGCAGGGGCTGGAGCAGCTTTGGGGTGGGGAGGCAGGGTGGGCAAGGAGGGAGCTGCTGAGCTCTGCCCTTGTGCTGGGCACATGGCTCCTGGGCAGGGAAGGGGCTGGCCAGGGATCTCAGTTTTCCAGATGGCTTCCAGGTGCTGGCAGCTGGCTCTGGCTTCAACATGACTACCAAGTGCTGGCAGCCATGTGGCCAGAAGCTGGAGCCCTCCGCTGGTGGCCACAGTGCATATGGCAAGGCTGCAGGCACTTGGGACTAACTTTGGTGCCAAGTATCTGCATGTGTAGACACCTGCCAAAATCACTTAATATGTGTTATCTTAATGCAAATTAAATTTAATAATTTGCTTAAATGCATGTATAGACGTGCCCAAGATGTACATTGTGTTCTTATGCCCTAGGTGCAGATGTGTTTAAGTGAACAGTGATTACGACAGACAGTTCAGTACAGGTAAAGTGGTAAACTCTTCAATGTCTAATTTTGCTTGTTTTTTCAGCAATGTGGATTCTGGAGTTTTAAAATGAGCCAGCTGAAATGCAGATGTGCCAACTGACGTGAAGACTTGAAAATGGACTTCAAGTTTCACTTAAAGGTTGGAGATTTTTAAAACTGTATTTGTGCTGAATATCCCAAACCTCAGTGTTTTTGTGACACTGGAAGTCTGTAATAGCTTGTTTGTTCTGGAACATTTTAGTGTTTCTGGGAGTCTTTACGTGTGCTCTGGGGGCACTGGGGATGGGGAGTGCTTTAATCAGAGTGGCTCTGAAAAGAGATGAGAGGAGATGAGCTGCCACATGGAGAGCTCCAAAGATGGCATCTCCAGGGCCTCCAAGAGATGCCAGAGATCAGAGTCCCAGAGGGTTCCTATGGACATGCAGGGATGCTGCTGCAATGCACCGTAATTACAGTAAGTTGGAGCAGACTCAATTAATTGAGTCTGCTGAAGTGTGCTAATTAGCATGTTCCAGCAGCCTCCACATGTCATAGATTGTAAGGGCTGGAAGGGACCTCGCAAGATCATCGGGTCCAGTCCCCTGCACTAGGCAGGAAAGACAACTGGGGTCATGTGACCCCAGCAGGGTGTCTGTCTAGTCTCCTCTTGAAGATTTCTAGGGTAGGTGATTGCACCACCTCTGGAGGGAGCTTATTCTAGTCTGGACACTGACTGTGAAGAAGTTTTTCTTAGTGTTAAGCCTGAAATGGTCTTCCAGGAGTTTGTGGCCCTTATGCCTGGCTTTTTCCAAGGGTGCCCTGGTGAACAATTTTTCGCCAAGTCCATTATGTATTCCCCGATGTAGCGTGTCAAGGGGGCAGCCTCTCAAGCATGGTTTCTGTACCGAGCTGCCCTCTTGTTCATGGGCAAACTGCCCACCTCTTTCACTTGCCATGTCTTGTTGTCAATTTCTCTAGATGTGAATAGGTGGGAGGCTGCCCTTTGCATACCCAGCTGTACCATGGGCCATACATACACGCTCCGACCTTCCCTATACGTGTCCCATGCCTCACAGATATTTCTAGGCCTAGCTCCTGGCCTCCCTTCTGGTGCACACACTGGACCTTCCATATCTGGCCTAGCACCTGGCCTCCAACTTAGGGCACATGCTGGGCCTTCACATACGTAGCCTAGCACCTGGCCTCCAGTAGGGTGGCACACACCGGGCCTCCTCTTTCCTGCGGCCTCACACCCCACTGCACCCCATAGCACTCTGCCCTCTTACTTGGGCTGCTTAACTACCTCCTGATTTCTGGGGCCTCACAACTCTGCCTCAAACTTTCAGTCCTCTTGCTCAGGCCTCTCAACTGCCTCCTCTGTCCAGGGCCCCACAACTATGCCCCTAAACTTCACTGCCCTTTCCCTCGGGCTCGCCACCTACTCCCCCTCTCCAGGGCCTCTTAACACTGCCCTCTCTCTCTCCAGGGCCAAAAGTCTCTACACTGCTCTCCGCTTAGGGCACGGGGTTGAATACCCCTGTAGGCTCAGGTGCTACTCCGCCCTTCCTCCTGGGCATGGGGTCGAACACCCCCATAGACTCAGGTGCCCTCCTTGGCATACCTGGCTTACCACGTAAGTTCACACACCCACCATAACGTGAAGACTAGGGTTATGGTGCCCCTACCTGCCTTACGCTGGAGTGGTTACTGGCCTGGCATTTTATGGGACCTGTCCTGCCACAAACAACCCCACCAGTTCCCTCAGCCTTTCCTCACATGGCTTGCCTTGCAAGTCTCTGATTATATGGGCAGCTCTTCTCTGGAGTCTCTCAAGCTTTACCAAGTCTTTGTTGTTCACCAAGGCACCCTTGGGAAAAACTGAGTGATAGTCATAAACTCCTGGGGACTGTTTCAGGCTTCACTTTAGGGAAAACTTCTTCACAGTCAGGGTGTCCAGACTGTGGAATAACCTCCCTGCAGAGGTGGTGCAATCGCCTATCCTGGAGATCTTCGAGAGGAGACTGGACGGTCACCTAGCTGGGGTCACATGACCCCAGTTGTCTTTCCTGACTCGTGCATGGTGGGTGTGAAGGGGGACGGGGCTGGATATGATGATTTTGCAAGGTCCCTTCCAGCCCTTACAATCTATGAAATCAAGTCTGCTCCAATGTGCTGTAATTATTGTGCATCGGAGCAGCATTCCCACATGTCTATAGGCACCTTCTGGGACTAAATATGATCCCTGGCATCTTTTGGAGACCCCGGAGATGCCATCTTTGGAGCTCTCCATGTGGCATCTCATCTCATCTCCTTATATCTTGCCCCCAAGGAGAGCACTCCAGTTACCTTCTTGAAAATCCTACATCAGAGGAAACAGCCATACTCTCCCTATCCATCCTCTCCCCTAATATTCCCCTCCTTCCTTTCTCCTCTAATCCTCCTGTACCCTCCCTACTTTTCTTCCCTGTCCCATCCTATGTTTCCCATATACAATATCCTTCCATGTTTCATCTTCCCACCTATTTTGCTTTCCTTCCTCTGCCAATCTTTTTTCTGAATTCAGATCCTCCTCCAGTAGCATTAGTCTTGTGCCTGCTTTAGGGTTTGCTTTCATTACTTATTTTTGATCTGATCTTATTTTGACCCGAGTTACCCCACAAACACAAATTTTGGTTATTTGTATTGGGGGAAAAATGATGATAGACCCAGTTACCTCTTTGATGCAGCCCTCTGCCTGAAGCTTGCTGTGATTTCCTGACTGCCAAATACAGGATTTTTTTTTCATGGGGACGTATAGGTAGAACTGCTTTAAGGAACTACAGCGAACATCTCTATCCCTCCCTTTCTAGGTGAGCTGGCACTTTCTTTCAACTCATTAATAATTTATTGAGAGTCATTCTTATGAAGAGACTCGGGGGCAAATTTAGCCAGACTCTGATTGCAGATGGGGAAAAAGGCATTTTGGACACCTGGGCCTTGTCTCGATATAACATGACAAGTGTATATGGGCAGTGGAAGATGCCCATTATTGCTGTTGCAATGGCAGCAGAGCAGGGCCAGTGCAGAGTCCTAGCTCAGCTTCCTGGCAGCCCCTGCTGGCACTGGAGCCCTGGCCTGCTACTCGGGCAACCCAGGCCCGTCTGCTTCACACCCACTGCTGTGGGTGCTGGTTGGAGCGGGTGGTGGGTGGGTGGGGTGTCCATGGATCCCTGTGAGCAGGTTGGGCTTGGCTGAATGGATGGGATGGGAACACAGGCAGGTAGGGAGTGGCGTTTGGAAGCAGGATGGATGGGGCCAGGATTGCAGGGTGGAGAGCATGCGGGGCCAGGGCCTGGGCAGAGCTCTAATCTGCTCCCCGCACGTGCCTGTGATGGGCGCCAGTTCCCTGACCTGAGGCTCCTTGTGGAACCAATGCCCATTGCAGGGACACGTGGGGAACCTTCCCGGTTCATTCCCATTTGCTAGCTTCATTCTCCTTTTCCGGTGTTTGACCTGCCTCAGTTAAGAAAACATAATAGCTGAAGAAACATTGAGACACGTTTGGGACTATTATTTCACAACATTTCATGGGTGTTAACACGGATGACCAAATCATTGTTGCACCTGTGACCGAGTTGTTATCTTGTTCTCTGCTTGCTTAAATTGAGTAACCATGTACTTATTTTACCATAATTTCAGGCTTTCTCAGAGCATTTTTGTCTCATATGTGTTTCCCCCTCTTGTCGTGTCCACATTTTAAAGATGTTGTAAAATTAATTAGTAATAAATGAGCCAACTCTACCTGTAATAATTAGTAATAATATTAAAAACTTGTTGTCTTTATCATATCCATAGAAACTGGGTAATCTTTTATTGTGATAAATATCTTGAAAGTCATGGAAGCTGCAAAGTCTCTAACAATATATCAGGATTCATAGTAGAGAGAATTTTTTTTTTATTAGACAAATAAGAGTTTTGCAAAAAATAAATTCTTTGATTACAAGCTTTCGGGCACAAACACCCTTCATCAGGCATTGGGTAGAAATGAAAGTCCCTATTTCATAGGATTTCACAGGGGAGTCAATAGATGGAAAACTCCTCTGGGCAGCCAGTTCATAGCTGGTAGGGAGCCTTGCAACTCCCGTGAGGATCTGTGATGAAGCGAATTACCTTGAAACAAAGGAAGGAGCAGGATCTCAGGTTTCAGGTGGTCACAGTTGCTTCCTGCTTGGGAAAATACGAAGATTTAAGTAAAAAAATTGGCTAGAATTCGATATCTTCCATGTGTCAGGTATCCAGGTTGTAGCCATATTGGTCTAGAGGAAAAGGCAATCGGGACTTGTAGTAGAGATGATATTAAACTAGCAAGATTTCAGGTCCCAGGGACTCACGCTGTCTCTGCCTAGTCTCACGCATGGGGATGGGGCCCTAGGGCTCCATGCTGCCTCTGGCCAGTCCCACATGAGCCAGGCTTCTGCCTAGCCCTGTGCACTGGGATTGGGCCAAGGCCTGTGGGGCTCCCTATGGAGCCAGAGACGCAAGGCCAGCCACATAGTTATACATATAGTTTAACTCACAAATTGGGTAGTGTGCTAAGTCTCTACTATTTTGTCTGGTGCATACATTTCATTTATTATAAAGGGGACTTGCAAGTGATGTCTCAGGGAGGGTTAGTGCACTGTACACTCGCCATTTTTTATCAGTGGAGTAGCCTCTGTGAATCTGACTGCAACTTGTCATAACCTAGAGCTGCCTTTATGTTGCATATCTTTTTTTGGAGATGAATCCAGTCACCCCCATGGACTAGGGAACCTGGCTTGGAATACATAGTTGAGCAGATTGGGTTTAGAATAATTCCTGTGGTGCTTCACTAGCAAGAGGTGATTTGTCATTTCTTATAATGATGTGCTTCTGCCATAAATCTGTTATTACAATCTGTAGCCCCCAGCCCTTCCCCCCCCATGCACTTGTCTTCCTTCCTTCCACCCTGAAACTCTTCTGATCATGTAGGAGCCGAGTGGACGGTGACTAATATTGTCACTGGGGCAGGACAACGCTTTGATGGGGAACTGTGCTGCTAATGTGAGAGGCTGATGAAGAGCCGCTGATGAAACAAGGAAACAATCACTGAAAAGCCAAGCTAAAAGACACCATCTTCCCGACCCTTACCATGCATAACCTGCAGACTCTGCACGAGAGCTAATGCTGTAAGTAACACGAGTGCTATTTCCCAGGATCTGTAAGACGCTCTGCAATGCTTGGCATAAAAGGATTGGTGCAATTCCTTGGCAGAGACGTTTGTTCTGTAATGTTAAGTTTGAGAAACTCATGCACGATACATTAATGTCCAGAGATAACAGCCATAATGATACTTGCGCAGAAAATGCCCTACATATTACGAGAGGATTCACGGAGTAGAATAATTACTATTATCCTCAGCGATTTGTTTTCCAGGTTCTGGAGCTTTAAAAAAGGAGCTGGGTGGAAAATCGAGCTATGTGAAATATGAAATGGGCTTCACGTTCCAGCAAAGGGTTGCAGTTTTTTGGAAATTGTTTTTGTCCAGAATCGGGATGAATATTCCAAACCTCAACATTTTCATGGCATTGGAAGGCTGTTGTAGTTTTTTTTCTGGAATATTTTTGTGTTCTGCAGCTGACTGCGGTCCCCGAGGTCTTCTAGAGGCCCAGGAGATGTCATCCATGGGGCAAGAGAGAGGCTGTAGAGCTGGGAACAATGGTTCAATGGCAAATTTAAATTTTATGACAAGCCTGAAGTGTTTTCATGGAAAACATTAGAATTGAATGAATAGAAAACATCGGTGATATTTTTATTGTGGAAACATACTGGGGAAAAATTAGAAAATGCCTGGGGAATTTTTCCCCAGGAAAATTCCTGTGGACTGATTAGAACGTTTCTTTCTTTTTTTTTTTTTAAACAAAAGATTGTCATCATAACAAGAATGTTCTTCTCATTATTCATTGAAATTTGAAGTTTTTGGGGTTTTTTTTAGTTTAAATTTGTATGAAGCTTTCCCCACTTCCTTTTCCTTTTTTACTTAATGGTCAGGTGTAAACTGGAACCAAACATTTCCCTTCCAGGTTCATTCCCATTTGCTAGCTTCGTTCTCCTTTTCCAGTGTTTGATCTGCCTCAGTTAAGAAAAAGTAACAGCTGAAGAAACATGAGGCACGTTTGGGACTATTGTTTCACAACGGCATTTCATGGGTACAAATAGTGATGACATTTCATAGGTACTAATAGTCTTGCTGTGAGTGAGTTGTTCTCCCAAACTGGAATATCTGCACCTTTTATTTTCTGCTTGCCTAAACAGAGTAAACATACATTTATTTTATTGTAATTTCAGGCTTTCTCAGAGCATTTTTGTCTAATAGGTGTTCTCCCCCTCTTGTCATATCCAAATTTTGAAGATGCTATAAAATTAATTAGTAATAAATAAGCCAACTCTACCTATAAGTATTGGAGATGACCATGAAAACTTACTGTCTTTATCCTATCCAGAGGAAGAGAGTCATCCTTTATTGTGAAAAATATATTAAAAGTAATTGAAGTTGCACTTAAGTTACGCATGGAGTATACCTGACAGCTGACCTCTTTCCTTGTGTTTCTTTAATTTCTTAGCATGGCAAGTTTAATATGAAATCCTTCTTTGAGGGGCTCTACACCAGACAGGGCAGTGGTATGAAACCCTGTGGAGAACTCGTTCCAAGCTTGACCTCCGGGACAAGTTTAGCCCACTGTGCATAGCTAAGCCATGCGTCCATATAGGAAATCCAGCTTCCGGCTGAAAAAAAACAAGTGGCGTCCTGTTTGTAGGACACCTGCCCATAGCAAGTGATTCATGTTGTTGTTGTGCATACTCCAGGATTCATGGAGGAGTGATTTTCTAACGCAAACTTGTCCTGCTGCCTTTTTCACAGTAAGACTAGGCTGGTCAACTTTTGTGCAGCTTACAGCGTAAGGTGTAACCAAGCCCTGACAACAAGGGCAAGAAGGTCAAAATGTCAGTCACCGTCCTCAGCTCCCCTCAGGATTTACTTCATTAGCACTTTCTCATTTTGAGTATGCACAGAGTGGTTTTAGTTAAAGCAAGTTTTCCTACATACTGATATAAAATCAGTATTAATGTTGTTGTCCTGTTGCATTCTTTCTGTTTTCACCACAAAGAGCACCCAGCTTTGATTTAAAATAGTCCCTGGAAACATTTTGCACGTTGCAGAGATTTTCCAGAAGTTTGTGTGGGATCTGGTGCCCAAGCTGCTTCCAAGTCAGAGGACTCCCCTCTGCCTTACGAATCTTTATGGAGTCTCAGGAACATCCTGAACGGTTTCTTTCATCAGATAAATGAAGCATGCCCCTTGCCATCCTGTAATTTAGATGCTACATTTTCTGTCCTTACCGTGTCACAGAATTTCTTCCGAGCATATTGTCGGCAAACATACTTTCCCTGCTCAATTAACTATTAAGTTTATTAGCTTCTCCCAGTTTCTATGACGGGCCAGAAATTAAGGCAGAACTGTAAAAATGTTTCAATACTTTATTTTGTAGCAGGTTCCCTCGTTTGCATAGGACAAGGTGCTAATGTAATGAGGAACTATTTGGTATTTTGTTTTTAGCTTGTTGTTCACCTTGCGGGCTGCACCTTTGAACCCTACTCTGAATGCTTGTGTTACCCTGGGCCTTCAGGGCGGATAAAAGTTTGTGATTTTTATCAAACTGAAAAATATATTTTTTTTTTTTTTTTTTTTTTTTTTTAAAAACCCGTGCATTTGGAATTGAACCAAAATGGAACTAAAAATGAAGCTACAGTGTCTTTCGTTTCCAGTATGGTCTCCTCTGTGTATTGATAGCTGGCCTGCAGGTGCCCCTAAGATGGAGTAGGGGCTGAGCCATAGCTCCGTCCAGATAAATGTCAGCTCTTCCTTTGACATCAGTGGACTTTGGCCTGAGAGTGCTTTTGCTTCGAAGCAAGTGAAAAAGCAAACAAAAGGATTTAAGATTTCAGGACTGTGCTGGTCCTATTGGACTTAGTCGGCATCCTCAGGGAAGCTGTCCGGCACACAATGTATCTGCTGAATTTTTGAATTGTAACCAAATCATCCACTAATTTTAGGTCAAACCCAGCTCTCCTTGCTGAAGTGATCAGATGAGATGAATCTTGAAGGGATTGCTATTTTAAATTTATTTTGGCATCTCTGATTGATTCCTTCCTAAATACTTTTTGGAAGAATAGAAGAAACACAGAAGTAGTATAGGGGGCACAGCTCTTGTCGAACTCTTAAGCCCCGCTTCCTGACAGTGCCCCGCCCCCTGGCCACCGTCTCCAGAATAGCCGATAGCAGAGGGATCTTGAGCGCACAGACTTCTCTCAATGCTGATCTGCGTAGGGGCTATTTGAATCACATCCACTTTTCAGACCCACAATGAACGAAAGCCATGGTGATGAAAATCAGTTTGTTTTACTTCCAGGAGCGTGTCCCTTCTTTCTTCCAGGCAGCTCCTCCTCGGTCTCTTGTGTATGCCCGATCTACTGACTTACCCTCGTTCTTTTAAGGGGTTAGGGTGGGCCTGTACATTGGGGGTGTGACACATCTCTTTTTTTTTTTTTTGAGGCTCCTTCATTTAATATACAAAAGGCCAGACCTGCTTGCTGCTCTGGCTTGCCCACCTTATCCAGAACAGCTTGGGAGATGTGACCAATCATGTCTTTCGTTTTGTGTTGAGCTGCATTTTTAATGTGGGAGTTTAATAATCTCCAGACCTCTTTTGAAAAGCAGGATGGCCACCCACACCAGCCCTGTGCACCACAGGCATCCCCTGATTGCTGAGTAGACCATCGTCTGCCTGGGCTTTGTAATAATTTCTGTACAAGGTAGGGTCCTCATAATTTTTTGCCATCTACATTGTACTTTTCTTATTTTAAAAGCCCAAAGTCTTCTGGGGCTGTGGGTGAAGCTTAGGAATCGCCTTGCCAAGGCGAAATGAGATGTGCGTGCTCTTATCCGTCTTTATTTCATTGCTGATTGTGTCAACATGACGCCGTCTCATGGGGACATAATGCGGCTTGTCATATGCAATAATGACAAACTCATTGTTTCTTCCATGATTAGGTATGCAGCTTGGTAAGGGAACCAAAAAGTCCCCAACAAGCTCAAGCTCTACAATGTCTGTAGAGATGCAACAAATTGAATCATCTGGTAATATCAGCCGTAAAGGTTTTTTTGTTTTGTTTTGTTTTGTTTTTTTTTTTTTTGAACAGTGAACTTGGGTAGCAACCCCAAAATATAGGCTAGCTCAATGCCAGTAGAAAAACCATAAGAGCTATCACTGGTTTTCAGTCTCAATTCTTTCTCACGTGATTGTAGATCATAACTAATTCAGGTGGGGTAGGGTGGCAGGCAATAATATTGTTCATATGATCCAACAAGTCTGTGATGGATGAGTAATACCCCCAACACAGACATACCCCCATTTCCTAGCCCCAGAAGTGATTTTGAAAGGGTTATCCTCATTGAGGTTGTTCCAGCTGTGCAGGTGTTGTATTTCTGCTAACCCTACCTTTCAGCTCCCCAGGAGATCTAGAGGTATAAGCAGCTGTATGGTAAAGTTTGAGCTGGCGTTCTGCAGGAAGACCCTGGTTCAGGTGTTGCCGGGCAAAATGATGCAAAAGCCACTGTTCCTCATCTTGTCCTTCCAGTGGAGGTAATGATTTTTATTTTACTCCCTACATGTTATAGACCTGGGAGGCTTCCACCCAGCTGTTAAATTTAGCTGGCCACTCCAACCATTTTACCAGCTGGGGAAACTGCTTCTTTCTCCCCTTTCTTTTCTCTGCTAGAACCTTTTTGATCCTGTAAACTCTGTCCTGTTGGGGGTTCACTTTTTGTAGTTCTTCCGGGGAAAAAGAACCTGCGATGGGTTCATCTCCATAATCTTTTGGGTGGTAGACACGGGGTCTGGATACGCCTTATGACTTCATCCACTATGAAAATTGCATCAGTGAATGTTTGTTCCTAACCTTTTTCAAATCTCCATTTGGTTCTAATCTCCTTCACGTGGTTTCCTTTTCTGAACCAGGGTGCTGCTGCTTTTATTTTACAATAGTCCCCGCACACAGTTTTCCACACCTGTGGAGAGTTTGAGCAATTCACATCAACAGGTCTGGCACAGAGTTCTGTGAGAGCTGTGGTTATTG